TCGAATACAGTGCTTGTTTTTAGATCAAACTTGACAGTTTCTGCTGTTCCCATGAACGTATCTTCAATTACGCTAATCTTGTTTACCTTGCAAGTAGATCACCGTTTTCGAATTGCCGCAAACACTGAAACATATCTGTCTAAATCACAGTAACAAACCTAGAGGTGACTCTTGATTCAATGCTGCAATTCGCGTTTAAACTTCCACGAACAAATATGATTTCATTTAGAGGTTGAATTTAATGATTTCAAGGTGGTGTTCATCATGAATTGACACGCGTGGAGCTGTGGATCAGTGGTTTAGAGAGATAGCCATCAACCAAATGGTTACGAGTCCAAACCCTGCCCCATCCACAGAGGTCTTGGCAATCAAACAGTAGGTGTGACCCATCGCCTAGTTCTCAAATGTACACAAGGTGGCTGAGTGTGTTTCTTTCGTTCGTACAGACTGACATCAATTAGAGAACCATTAGAAACCTGGAAGGATTAGTTTTTCAATGGCTCTTTAAATAATGTCATTAAGCGATGAATGGTAGGTTGAAATATGATATACTGAATGATTTGAATGCAACTGTCATCATTATTTGTTTGCATGCTTACACTAATTAGAATGATGATTTGTTTAACCTCATTCTCAGATTTCCATCTAATCTAGGACTTTTCTTCCATTTCGCTGAAACGGTGTCAGATTATTTCAGTTCTGATTTTAGTTAGATGCTTGAATACGTGTATTATAAGGTTCTTCAAATCACTGTGATTGCTATAAAAAAAAATTAAAAAGGAAGCGTTTGGACAGATTTATTTGTGAATGTGTAAAGTTTTTCAGTTGACTTGTTTTGAGTTTAGGTTTGTGCCTAGAAATGATTAAAATTAATCATTAGAAAAAACTAGAAGTTCAACAAAACAATCTTTTTCAGTGATTTCATTCTTTTAAGCTGTACATTCGCAACTTTGATTGCTAACTTGTATCACATCATTCATCAAATGGTAGGTGGTGTTGAGTTTCAAGTGAGAGGAAACACATGTCTTGGATTCCATTGTTGGTCACTTTCCACCATTAAGTTACAACCATTATTTAACTAAATCCAGTATAAAGATAAGGTTGAATGAAGACTGAAAATTTTTAAATGTTATATAATGTGAAAATTAATCACAAAATAGCACAGAAACTAATATGATTAACAGGTTACAATATAAAGTTGCATAATATGCAAAGATAATTTTTAAGACTGAGTTTGATCAACGGTAAGAAGGAACCAAGATAAAGACGATATTACCAAAAAAACATGATAAAATATAACAAATTTGTGAATATTTAGAGAGATTTGGAGGTTGAACTATTTAGCTGTTTATTGAGTTCGAATTAGCAGCAAAAGGTGAATAAATTCCTTTTTTAACACAATTCTGGTTTCTCCATGCATATAGCAATAGCTTTTGCTGTAGAGTAAAGAGGGGGTGGGGGAAATGTACCACTTTCGGCAAATTTCTTCTCACCTTCTAGATGATTTTGAACAGGTTGTCTTACTGTGACCAGTGTTGACATAGTGCTCAATAGTTCAACTGGTACTTCTTTGCAGGCAGACAGGTTTTTATTATCTACCCCATTTGAAAAGGGTGCACATTAAACGAAATATACATCTGGCTTCGTAGGAGAAGGTGAACTGACAAACGTACATGGAAGTCAGATGCAGAAGCTTAAATTTTGGATTGTCAAGACTCAATAGACGGCTGAAGAATGCAGCTCTCAAGGTTGACGCAAAGGTTTATTCCCAGTGAGTTTGATATCATCGGTTAATTCAACTTTATAGTCAACATTCATCCTCTTAAGACCTGAGATTTGTATCTATTTTTGTACTTTCAGCTGGGTTTTCGTTCACAAATAACGCTAGATATCCGCTTTCAGTCATAACTTTTTGTGAAACATGAATTCTTCTCTTAAGTGATCTGGACTGTAGATATGTCGAATATGGAGGGAAAAAGAATACGAAAGGGTGTTTTCGACTTGTAGGTACTCAGCTATAGAAATTTATCAGCTGACCATTCTTTACAGGGTTTCCTACAGTTTCATCATCTCATCTGATTTGTTCTACATGCAAAGAAAAAATCGTTGCTTCCGTTTTCATGGCCTATGAATTTTATTTGAGGGTTAGCAATCGTTAGATACTTGTAAAACATATTTAAAACCACCACTCCAAAATCTCGTCAGTCATTGGCCTTAGATAGCCGTTCTCGCAAAAATAACACATGGTAATCCACCAATAGCCACTTAAAAGGAGAAACCATATCTGTTCCACATTATGAAAGTCGATCGTGTCATTTAAGAAAATTTTGACGCTCAAGGTGCGTCTAACCAGTAGCTTTCTAGGCATGAGGTGGATACTGCAATATTCAAGTCGCAGTCATCGATATATTTACATAGGAAACAGGTTATCTGTATGAAAGACACATCCGTGAAGAGAGATTCTACGTCGAGCGATAACATACATTCTCCAGTTACATTCGTACCTCTCATTCAGTCGACTGTGGGATCACTGTATATTTGTCTGCTTATATGCTCTTGGGTTTTCCAAGGTCCTACTGCAATCAGATGGCTGAGTGATAGTTGTGTAATTGAAATTAGGTGCAAAGGTATTTTCGGTAAACTATAAAGTTGATAAAATTTATTATGCTGTTGGGGTGAGGCGTCAACAAAGATTTTCACTAATTTGGTACTTGTAGACTGACACATTCAACAAGGAATCAGTTTCCATTAATAACTAGAATCACTGAAACTGAACAAAATGAAGTTGTTGAACCAATGGAGGAAAAGAACATAAGTCTCAGAAAGTTTGATCGTTCTCGTTATTTTATTTCAAGCATTTTACTACATTTTACCTGCCGCGTTGCAAAATGACCGTTAAAATTCGATGAGGACTTAGGAACAGACAAGATGAAGTCGGTTACCTTCCAGTTACCAATCAGTTTAATCTATCCAGTCCTGCAGGAGGACAATAGCTACTCGACTAGCTCAGTGATAACATCTTTGTCTATAGTACTGAGTGGCACAGATTCCAGTCTTACAGAGGATATCAGTTTCCTTGAGGTTGCAGATACGCTTTATTGATGGGAGGTAACAAACGCAGATACTTGCCGGGGTATTTTGTTCGAAAATTAACCATAATGAACGCAATATGGGAAAAGAAGCAGTTGCGTAAGCAATATTAGCTATGACATAAAAATAAATTGTTTACGAACTCACGGAGGCAACTAAAATTCGTATTCAACCATTGCTTCAAGCAATCTAAGCTTACACTCTGGATGGTTTTCAGAAACATTTTACTCCCTGATTTTCATGTCATTTTGTGACGGATACCAATTGTGTCTTACAATGGGTGAATAATTGTATTTACTACCTACATTAATGCAGATGTTTTTGTAGCCATTTGGGCAAATGTTTCACCTCACTCAAATGCATCTCTGAATCATCCCTTTTTATGTTCGTGTGTCCATGCACACATACAACTACACACAAAGCACATGTACTGTTGATAAATCAGGCTGGTGGGGTGGTGGTTAAGTAATCATCTTTGTGACAATGAACTTTGTGCTCCAGTGTGTAGTTTACTTCCTTAGTTGTAATAAGATTGACTACAAATGCACCTTGCTGATCACAGAACTTGGTCTTCCACTCAAATAAATGCCGTTTGATTCCCTATTGTATGTTAGTTTGGTAGAAACGCTTTTTCTTAAAGGAAGAGTCGAATCCAGATTAACTGATTTGTATGAAAGTTTGTGAACTTTAATGAGAATTTGTTTTCCATCACTGTTCCACTTGGTATTTTGATATCATCATGCTGAATCACTTTCCTTCCGATATGGAGTATGTTTGAACACGGCTGAAAATCATGTTTCTCTTCTTAGCATCCTTAGGACATATTGTCTTGTACGGTATCATATTTGCAGCATATAGATAGCACTCTTCTGTTTTTTACATATAAGATTTAAATCATAGACATATGTTTTACATGGGGTAAGTTTATCAACCTGATCGTCAGCTGAACGTTCAGTATAAGACATACAAACACCAGTTCTTGTGGTAAGTCCGAGATTTGTTCAAAGCGCATTGACCTTTACTAAGTTATGATTTTGAATTTGTTGGCAACTGACAACTGAAAGGAAGATAATTAAAGTGGAAACTTCTTTTATAGACATGGAAAAAAAGTGGGTCTCTGCCTACACCTTGAATCGATTTCCTGTATTTCATAGGTGTTGCTTCAAGTAAACTTTCAGTCAGGGTTTGTCAATAGCAAGGCTTATCAAAAGATCTTTGAGATTCACACCTGGCGCTGCCTTTTATTCTTAAACTATTCGGCTGGAAGGTTGATAAAGCAAGTCCTTGTATACTGGATCTTATTCAGGTAGGAATTGCAAGCGTTTTGACCAGTTATTTCGAAACTTGTTCACAGGAAACCTCATGTATGGGGATGAATTAATGTACACTCAGAAGTATTAAATTATTTTTACCTCGAAAAATGATGTGACGAACAAAACGACATAGATAAAAGCCACGTATTCACCTTGGTGACCAGCTGTTGGATGTAGGATGAGCATTTCATCCTTCTTAGGACTCGTCAACTAGATGCACCTGCACCACCAATGGTTCAAGTTGTCCCTGTGGGGACTCGAACCTAGCACCCAGCCTTCATACCACAGAGCTTTAACCACTAGACCACCGGCGCACAACGGCCGCCTGCTGTACAACGGGTGACAGTTTGTATTTGACGCTTGTAAGAGGTCTAACTGATCGACCTTTGTTGGCAGACGAGCTTTTATGAGGAGGCCTCGATACCACCGGACTTTCATAATGTTGTATTCATCTTGTTGATTAGCAGACGTAAAAATGAGTCTAGTAATTTCAAACTACTTACAAGTAGTGATAACGCTTTGATTTTAAAGAAACCTACTTCCTTCACATCAGTGAACAGTTAATCATTGAAACACATATTTCCAATAAATCAGATTAACGAACTATATGTAATCAATATTTTTTTTCTTCAAGTTAATTAATGAGTGAGTTTCAACACAATGAAATCCTCTGGAAATCATTTGTAGAAACATTGCATTCCTTTCATGCATACCAAAATGAATACATAACAAATATACACGTAAATACACAGAAACAAAACACAAAAAGACAAACCAAAAAAAAAATGAAAATGAGGATAGAAAGGAACGAAAAGAAACAAAAAGTTATTCCATTATATATTTTTTTTGGAAAGATTATCACTAACTTAAAAACGATTCAAAATAATAAAAAAGTTTGATTTCAAGTTAATTATGCTCATTATTTGTCGATTGCACGAATGAAGAAAGAAAGAAAAAAACGAGCGAAAAGGATTAAAATTCAATTCATTTAAAAGAAAAAGTTTACAAATTTCATTTTATCAAATTTCTGTTAGTTCTAGGTGTATATTTGTGGAAATTTGAAATGTATATAGAATATTCTAGAAATCAAAGAGACATTCTGCAGCATACTTGAGTTATTTCATTGAACATTGAACTGGAAATCACTTTGTTAGAAATTGTATTCTAATTAGTGTGGTAAATTTGAAGCGTTCAGAAAGAAACTAAGGATTCATAGCTCTGGAGATATGATTATATTTATTTGTTTTATTCAAAGACGAAATGTAAAATTAACCTATTCATGATTATTGATAAAAATAGTTACCAACGTTGAAATGAAAGCAGAATTGAATATTGAAAATAGTAGAGTACACCTACAAATTTATATAAGCACACTTATACATACGTACACATATGCACTCATACACATACTCATATAAAAATGAAGTGAGAAGCACAACGATTACAGCATTACAATTAAAGCATTCACAATATTTTTGTACTATTATTGCTTAGTGATTCTGTTTATTTTGTTTTTCAAATGTTTTTCATGATAGTTCTATTGTTTTAGTGAACATTTCAAATAATTTTTGTCTATATTTTGTTAGCCTTTCTACTGACTAGTTGTTAAAGCAACTGAAAATAAAATATGAAGAAAAATCATATGAAAAGTTATGTAGGTTTGCTTCATCAAGGTTCAGTTATAAATAAAGTAAACAAAAGAACTGCCTTCTAGTATCTGATGTAGCTGTATAAACACCGTACTCCAGTTAGCCAGTAAACAATGTGACATAATACAGTATACTAATTTTCACAGAAAAGGGTGTAACAGTAAAAGGATTTTCCTTTCCACCATTCCGTTTAACAAATCGAATTTATAAGCATTGGGAACAAATAACTGTTCGTTTTGAGAGTGGAATCAGAAGTTGCTCCTATAGACCCAAAGGAGTTGCCACTCTGGTCATTATTAAAGCCAATTAGTGCACGGAATAGTTCTGAACACAAGATCAGTTTGAGGGTTTGTGCATTACCAGTGACTCTGTTACGTATAAATGACGTAGTCAAAATTGTCTGAAGTGTTTAGAGGCATGCTGTAAATCAGTTTGTAGGACAGTTGTCTGGAACCAGACTGTTGACATTCCATTTCTCTCCCAAAGATAGCCATGGAGTTGAATATTGTTTCAAACAAGGTTCTGTTTGTTAATGGGAGGGATATAGTTTGAAAAGTTGATAAATTGTCCGGTCAATCAGGAAAGTAGTTTAGAAATTTGCTCTACTTGATGGCTATCCATAGAGGAGAGAATATGAATAGTCTGATTCTTGAACACTTCATCATCTTCATACACTCATCCCCAATCGGTAACCCATTCAAAGTCACTTGAAGTACACCTCCACATACTTCGACGGATTTTGGTTACGTTATTTATGCATAGCTGAATCACTGGTAATGCTCAAACCTTTAACCTGATCTTTATGTTTACACACGTGTCATGGACTCATTAGCCTAACCACAACTACAGTAGCAATTTCCTTCTATCATTGGAAACAAGTTTTTATTCTGCTCTGTTGATTCGAAATAAACTTTAGGGCTGAGTATATCGGTCATACCATACATCTGTTTGATGAACGGGCTCACTAATGTTACCCAGTCAGGCTGCAGAAGAATCAACATGAAGTCGTCAACAGCTCCATTCCTGAACTTCTGGTAGACTCTGGAAATCTGGTTCCTCGTTCAAAGTTCCCTACAAAGCAGTACCAAACTATTCAAAAGGAGTGAAGGTTAGACACTTATATATGGCTGAAGTTTTGAGGGTTTACAACTTCAAACCTCGAATGTGCATTTAAAAACAGGCATATGCAAACGATTTCTTTACCCTGGCCTTAAGCGGGTACTCTATATATCTGCTTATGAGTTTTAAAATTCCATACATGTGAACCATTGCAAGATGTATATGGGAACAATATGGTTTTCGATAAGATCCTCTTCATGTTGTACTCTAATATAAGTAGGTAACTATGAAGATAAAATAAAACCAGTAATGTAGATTTGTCGATCAGTGATAAGTGTTTTAAAATAACAATGGTGATAATAATAAAAACAATAACATTGCTAGTTGTAGTGAGAATGTTGAGTAAAGCGGTTGTATACAGTAGGTAATGATGATAAGAACTAACTGAACACCATGTTAATGTAGGGACTTAGATAACCAAAATGGGTCAAAAGCTTAGGAAAATAAACGCTGAATAATAATAAAGGACAAAACAAGTAGGTAAACTAAGTCTTGAGAAACATAGTTAATGTTTAGAAAGGGTGAAGACTAAGAAAGGGATCGAAAAATCCTAATGATAAAGTTGTTTATTAGGTACTCCCTGACCAAGGTAGAGATAAAGGGTGCACAAACGTCTTCTGGATACAAAGACCAGGACTATTGTCTGGAATTCCCACAGTTTCTGCATTTGTAGAAGACGATTTCAAATACCTTTAGAAAGACTAATTGGTTTGCAATGAATAATCTTGGAGGCTTTTTTTATCGACCAACTGACTATTGCCAATCACATGAGATAAAATAGGACTTCTTACGGATTTTATCTATCCATCATGAAGGTGTATACTCAGCAACGCATCTGTTTGTTTTGTATTCCAATTAATCATTTATGTGTTTATGTGTTTGTTTTTTACTAGATCCCAAATCTTACTGTTCAATGCACTTCAAAGGTGAACAGAATATCATCCGATAAAAAATGAATAAAATTTGAATTATTATGAATTTACTGCTTCATTCAACCAAGTGTTATGCAGATTCTTTTAAGGTGTTAGAAGGAGTATAGTTAACTGGAGGAAGAGATGACACTCCTTGTCTTATATATATATATATATATATATATATATATATATATAATAATTCTTTAAAATGGATCCTTCTAATAAAAAAGACATTTATGGACCGACAAGTTCGATTTCAGAGGTAGGAATCTAGGTACCTTATAAGTCGGAATGCATTCAAAGGAGGGGTGAAATTTTATTTAAAATGGTTATTGTGACATATAGAGAACAGCATTGATTCCTACAAACATACTCAACTAATTGTCTCTCGTCTTCTGAAGAGATAACCAACTTGTTTTTAAAATTACTATTCCAAAGCAGAGGATTTCCAAAGTTTTCCATGAATCGATTATAAACTAATCATTTACCCATCGTGCTAGAACAAAATACTGTCACACTTGCACTTATTTTCATTCTCTTGTTTTACACTGTCGTAATCCTTGAAGTTCATGGCCTGTGAATAAGATGAGTGGTCACTTTAGACTCTTCTATAACCATTAATGATGGATAGTGGCTAGCAGTGGAATGCAGGACGAGCGTTTCATCCTATTTGGAACTCGTTAGCCGAATGTACCTGCCTCCCAGTGAGTGATGTTGTTCCCATCGTGACTCCAACCCGGGAGCGATCGCTTCAAACGGCATGACTGTTGTCCCGTGGCCCGTTGAGACAGATCGTCGACTTTCAACCAGTGCACTGAGTGTTCAAATGTAGGTCTATCAACTGAAGTGTAGACATACAGCTAGTACCATAAATCGGTTATTTTACGAACGGGCTGATGGTTCTTCAGTTGGATTTCGTAGTCTTTTCTGCGACGTGTATAAAATAAGCTACATTTTTCATGAATTATCGATTTCTGGATAAAATACTTTATGTTTCGTGTGGAAATGGTTGTTTTGCACATGGGTCAAAGAGCAAAGAAGACTGACTTATAGTCTTGATATTCTACCTTGAATTCAGATTTCGTATTAAGCAGTTTGAATTTAGTTACTTTTTCTTAAAAACCAAATGGAATATTTTACCTATTCAGTTGTAAATTTAACAGTTAGCCATTGAACTTTGAAAATGTACTCACTGGCTGTCAAAATGTAAGCGAAATGTTAGATCAACAAGTGAGATAATATCAATAATAATATCGTCTCAGATGTCACAGTATAGAAAAATATGTTGTCGCTGTGAAACCAGGTGAGATAACATTTTACCACTGCCATGATTACTGTACTATTAGAATCCTTGTTTTCACTCCCCAAGATGGCTACTGAAATGGTAGTACTCGAACTATACTGAAAGCTGTTTTGGTCTAACTTAGCCAGCTCAGATATATTCATAATTGAGACTAAGATTTATGCGTAAATCTTATGATGATAGCTTGTTGTGATAAGAGGAACCGTCGTTAGTTCTTTCTTCATTCTCCTGTTAGTTGCTTTTTTAGCATCTTCTCTTTAAATTGATCCAGATTCATACGCTTTGGAAACCAGCATTTCATAATTCAAAATTTCTTTTTTTGTGGCAAAACAATTAGTCTCGTCGTTATAACAAATGAGAGATAGGGAAACAGGAGTTTGAAACAAGTTTTATCATTCATATCATATCATTTATCTTATAAGAAATTTTACTGAAGACCCATATCCAACCTCAGTGGCAACAACATCGTTTACTGGGGTGCAGGTGCGTCCAGTTCAGTCCCAAATGGGACAAAATGAGCATCCCGTATTCCTGTAGTATTCACTAAGATCAATATAACACCACGAATATCCAGCAGTATCAAGGCATCCGCATAGAGGTCCATCTGCTAACAGAGGTCGACCGTTTCAGCTGTCTGTAGTAATGGGAAATTAAAAGTATCGTAGCAAAAACTGATAGCCGTTGCACAATAGATGGCTATTTGTATCTTAGTGGCCTAGAGGATAACGCCTTGCCGTTTGAAGCGATGCCTACTAGATTCGAGCCTCAGAGGGAACAACATCACTCACTGAGGTGAAGGTACATCCAGATGACGAGTCCCAAGTGGAATGAAACGTGATCTCTGTATTCCTCTGCTTGTCAACATGACAAATATAACCTATTTCATAATATTTTCATATAGCTTGGCTCAAGAGGTATGTGTTGAATTTTACCAGTGAATCTAAAGACCACTGTAGAACCTATTTAAAAAGCCAAATAAGTTTCTTTATTTCCACTGGAAAGGGGGATTTACACGAAATGAAGTCTGAATGGTTATTTCGGGTGTTGTTAAGATGATCTTTAGAGTCACTCTTCAGTTCATTTGATGATTCATAGGCGTAGACAAAGCGTAGGCAAGACCAGTGATATTTAGATAGTGAGGCACAAAGTCATATTCACGTGACAGCAACAGAATGGAATACTGCAGCGCTACCAGTTCAAATACTTACAATAAGTTTTACCAGTTTATTAATAGTTATAACTCTGTCAACGTAGACTGAATCAATGCCGCTGAACCAATCAAAGATGATAAGGTAAAAGATGACAGAACCTCAAACAAAATTTATTTCATACAGAACAATATTAAGTTATTTTAATTGACTACGTAGTGCTAAATCAAATTATTTTAGAATGAAATCACATTTGAACACGATTTACCGATTTCACTCACACATTAATGGTCTGCTTAGTTGAAAGTGGTTACAGTTTGTGAATACTAGCAAATTATACCATGAAATAATGATAAAAGTATACATGACCAGATTTCTGTTCACAGATAACCAGTTGACAGGCCCCAGTGTACAAATTACTCTTATTCTATAGAATTATAAAGGCTGTTATTTAATGTGGCAGGTCAGATAAGTGATGATT